AAGCGTTTTACACCCGTCCCTCATTTTTACACACATCAGATTAGCGCACTTGTGTTTCTAGCTGTTTCGTCATCTTTATAAAGAAGTGCTGATTCACAACTGAGTTTTGTTTATCTGTGCACATTTTCCTTTTTTTTTGGGGGGGGGGGGGTGAACATATTTTTATAAAAGAAATTATTATAAAATTGTTATCATTGTCATTCTTCTTCTTTTTCTTATTACTGTTATTGTTATTGTTGTTGTTATTATTATTATTATTATTATTATTATTATTATTATTATTATTATTATTATTATTATTATTTATTATTATCATTATTATTTATTATTATTATTATCATTATTATTATTATTTTTATTATTATTGTTGTTGTTGTTTTTGCTATTGTTATTATTTATGGTTATTATCTTTATTATTTTTCATTTTTACGTTTGTACTCCGTTTTCTTTAGTTGGTATGGCGATGAACTGCGGGGCAGGCGAACGAGGTCCGAATATTTAGAGGTATTCTTGAGCTTGGGTTGTCGGGGTTTTATGACTGTCCTCACGCTAGTTTCGGCCCGGTGTTGTCGAAGGTGAACGTGAGGTCGAAGGTCCCATCTCTCAGAAAAAAACGTGACATGGTCATAGAACGTTAAATTTAAGTCATATTATTATTATGTTTGTGTTTGTCTCGCAGACACTGGAGTTCATGGAAGTGTTTATGTGCGTTTGTATCACCTTGTTGACCCCACCCCGGGTGCTCTGGTGTGGGTTTTTTTCCTTTTTTCCTATCTATAAAACATCTGTCGTCTTTTTCTCACATCCTTCTGTTAACTGTATATTACTCTCTGGTAACTTAAAACCTCAAACCTTTGGCACTTATGGCAGCTCTTGGTGTTGCAAATGCTGCAGAGATTTAATTAAAACTATGCCCATCTTTTGCCCACCCAATCCGTCCTAGTTTGTCTCTGCAACGTTTGAGTCACAGAAAGTGTACCGTCGTGTAATTAAGAGTTGAGCATGTCGTACGATCACCCATACAATAATAATTATTGCCTACAGACCTAGTTCTGCTACTGCCTCTCGCATGCCGAACTGAAAACTGCATGTCATTGGCGAACCACGTGCATGGTTTTTATTCACCGAGATAAAAAGGCCGAAAAAACAACAAACAAACAAAAACAAAAACAAAAACAGGCATTATCCGTGGGTACCCCTTTGCTAACAGCGGAAGCATATTGCAAGTACATTGTATCACGTGGGGTTCCCCATCTCCACGTTGGTTCGATAAGATATGGGGCTTGGTTTTCTAAATTTTTAAAGAAATGTGTGTATGGGTTGGGGGAGGGGGGGGGGGGGTCTGGGGAATAAATACTAAATGTTATCGGTATTCCAGTTTAAAGCCAGCCTATTCAACTCTGGCGTAATCCAGCCGTCTTCGTATGCACGTGCACCGACAACTGAAATTGTCCTTGGAAGTAACCCTTTACAGGGCCCGAATTTCCCGGGACTCCTCCGGGTTCGGCTCGCGGGAATTTGAGAGACTAATCACATTACGCTACACCAAAACCTGTCCCACTACCTTACCGCTGGAAATATTATTTCTCTCTGAGGAGATCAATGTTGAAAGTTACATTCATATGATTTAATATCACTTTAAATATAAACATCTTTGTTATGCAAAGAAAAGATAAATAAATAAAAAATAAAAGATTGTACGTGTGCCTCTGTGTATGTAAGTGCGTGTGTATGTGTGTCTCTCTCTCTCTCTCTCTCTCTCTCTCTCTGTGTGTGTGTGTGTGTGTGTGTGTGTGTGTTTTTGTGTGTGTGTGTGTGTGTGTGTGTGTGTGTGAGAATTTTGACGTGTATGTTTGCGTGCATATATAATTTACCATGCCGCAGCAAATTTTTGTCTGTGAAGATCAATAAAACGTTATCTTATCGTAAAAAAGAAAAAGCCCCACTCATTGTAACTTTGTTCGTTGTTTTGTAATGTGAATTTTATACCTTGGGTGCCCCTAACTTTGTCTTGAAAAAATTGGCAAGCCTTCCCTGTATAAAGTTTCCTGCAACTTAATCAACGCTTCAGGTCCATGAAAAGCTGTGAGTGAGTACTTGGAGTATTCCACTGGTAGGCCATACATTGTATTTCTTTTCTCTCCCCCCATTGTTGCTGCCTGTCATTTTCAGTCTCACTTTTCCTGGATCTAACTGGCCGTTATTGTGTCGATGCGCTTCTCATTACGCTAACTAAACTTACCTGGAGGGTTTCCAAATATTTCTGTTTGGCTCTTCGTTGCGCCTGCTTTGTTTGCTTATTTGTTTGTTTGTTTGGTTTGTTTAATTGTTGATGCATTTGGTTTTTGTTTGAGTTAATTTTTAAAAATCAAACAATCACTTAATTGATTGATTGATTGGTTGATTGATACATTATCAATTAATTATCTCTAGGGGGTATGCATTATTATTTAGGACTCTCCCGAGGTTTATCTGGCCTGCAGATAGTCAAGTGTCAGTTCCATTGTTGGTGTGTATTAGTTTGCGTCAGCGTGTATCTCATTGTTTCTATTTCTAGCCGCGTGCACGTCACATTTTTGTGTCATGCATATATTCTATTAACATCCAGTCCCTGGATTTCCATACATTAGCATCTAGTCCATAGATCAAAGTTCTGATTAGCTGTGCGAGTAAGCGTAAAATCCTATTTAGAAACCGGTATATGGACTTTCACCCTTACCTTTTGTGAGTATGCTCACATCATTTTTTAACCTGTCGCTTTAAAATATCGATGTTTTGTGTGTGTGTGTGTGTGTGTGTGTGTGTGTGCATGCGTACGTGCGTAGGAGTGCGTGGGTGCGTGTGCGCGTGTGCGCGCGTGTGCTTACCTGTCTCTCCCCATCAGGCGACAGTTTGATGCCGTCCTTGAACCAGTCCAAGTTCTCCGGAGGGTCGACGGTGCCCGTGGAGTTGCACACGAGATGGATGGGGTCGCCTTTTTCCACGTACTTTGTGCCTGATACAGAGATTGCTAGAACGATAGAAGACACATCATAATCATAGATTCACTTTCACATATCGCTGCACCCTGTGCACTCTGTGCTGTTAGTAAGACTCAAGATGAGCTGTTAGAAGTTTATGGTTTAGTGTAGGTGTAGCTGTAGTGAAATGACTAAATGAAGTAGTCGCACGCACGGGCATTTATCAGATTACTGTATAAGGAAAAGATAAAAAGGAGACATTTCAGAGAAAAAGAGATAACATTAGTGATATATAGATAAATATATAGATAGGTAGATAGGTAGATAGGTAGAGAGAGAGAGAGAG